TGAGACAGTCTGGAAATGCAGCAGCAGCAGTTTACACAAACCTCTCTGCTGCAGATAGTCAGGAACTGATAGCACTGGGTGTAAATAATGGCAACAGGGGAAGAAGCCCTACAAAGGAACAAATCCCAGCTTGCAGCTCAGGGCAAGTCCATGACAGACCTGCTGCGACCCACAAAACCTCTGCGAGGGGGTTGAGGGATGCAGCAGGAAGGGACCTATGGCTGTAGCTTGAGGGTCTCAGAAGGTACAAGCCTCAAGTTTATCCCAGTAGGTACAAGCCTCAGGTTTATTCCCTGGGCTCAACTCAACACTGCTCTTGCTTTGTGTCAAGTGCCAGCGTTGAGTGGCATTTGAAGATTTCCAGGCCCAGTCCATCCTGGTGATGTTGCCATCCAGGCAGGGCTGTTTGGTGCTGCTGGCCAGGTTGTAGCAAAGGCAGTGAGCCCAGTATGGACCAAGGTTCAGCAAGGGGGTCCAGCTGGGTCCAAGGTCTTCTCTGCCCAGATGGAGACCCACATAAGAGGCAAAAGAAATAAAGCCAAGCTCGTCGCTCATGTTTTGCAAAGTGCTGCCCTGTTCACTCACTAGGATAGAGCTGAGATGTTGGAGAGCAAACAACACCCACAGTGTTTCACCTCTGGCTGAAGCCACTACAGGGCCACCCACCACTCTGGAGACTGATGCTCTCCCCTCCCCATGCACTCCAGACACCACCACATACCGTTCAGCCCTTACCCAGCATAAGATCCAGCACAGCAAGGCTCAGCAGCAGCACGGGCAGCCCTCCTGTCCCCCCAGACATGTCCAAAGCCAGCACCCCCGCGCCTTGCAAGGTGTGGACCTGAGGACACAGCGCGTAGGATGGTGCTAGTGGGGAACTGCGCTGCCGAGTGATGGCTGGAGATGGCTGGAGCTGCTTCCTCGTTCCCGGGGACAGGGAGGGGAGAGACCAGCGGGCACTGTCCCCCCTCCCGGGCAGGTGCAGCGCCGTGGGCGCGTCGGTGACATCGGGGCAGCACCTGCGCCCGGGGGCGGGGGGCGGTCCCAGGCGCTGGGGGCACGCCCCTCCCTGCACGAGGCCACACCCATGACCACGCCCTTTACACACGCCCACAGCTTGTGTAACACTGGGAGGACCGCGTGGTGCCGGGTAGGGATCGGGGTCAGGGTCGGGATCGGGGTCGGGGTCGGGATCGAGATCGGGGTCGGGGTCGGGGTCGGGACCCCGTCCCCGGGGATCGGGGACCAGGAGCGGATCGGATCGGTAAACGGAACTGGCAGGGCACCGTTATCCCCCGTGCCCGAGGACCAGGATGGGCAGGGGACCTGCATCCCCCGGGCTCTGGGGGCGGACTGGGATGCGCAAGGAAGCGGGAAAGCTCAGCAGGGTCCCGTTTCCTCTCGGAAGTGCAGCACGGTCTCGTTTTCTCTCGCAGCGGCCGCTCGCAGCCACGGTGCTCCGGGCGCTGGCCCGGGCGGTCCTGAGGATGCCGCGGGGACAAGGGAAGCGAAAGGCCGAGGTCACGGAGGTGCCTCGCGTGTCTCGGAGGAGAACGGAGGAAGAGGAGGCGATGCAGGAGGCCCGGCGGAGGGCGGCCCCGTCCGTG